CGGAGATAAGCAGTAGTTTCGGCGACGCAGAAGTAGTATGTGCCCAGGCAGACTACTGCTGTACACCGACGCAGTGGGTAACAGCAGCGCAGTGGCACCAGCATGCTTCGAAGTGTAACGTACAGACAGAGTCAGAGGCCATGATACAAGAAAAGCACACATGTGGGTACAGCAGGTTTTTGAACCAAGAATACCACCAGACACATGCGTCGATATGCAGTGCGAGACGAAGAGTTGGGGTGATATTGCGGGTGCGCGAGTGGTGCGGCGAGACAAGAGAGCCGGGACGAGAGCGACACACACACACACACACCGGGCGGCACACCAGGCGGAAACACCAGGCTGACATACATAATCAGATGACGAGAGAGACAGACTACTTCAGAAGTAGCTTCTCACACACCTGCTGCTGCAACCTCGAGGCCCGAGACATGATGGCTTCTCCTTTCAACAACCTGGCTGACGATATCCAGCAAGGAGGACATGCTCTCAGCATCTTGCTGCTTCGCCCTTGCTCGCCTTGGCCTGAGGTGTTGTCTGGCGGCCTGCCGAGCACGGAAAACCGAGAGCGGCTGGACCTACAGCAGCGCCGTTAATCGCCCTGTTCGCTGCATCCAGCCGGGATTTGCCCTTGGTGACCACTAACCCTATCTATGTTGGGCCCTCCCGTGGTGTCGCGCGTGTGGGGACGTTGTCTGTGGAGTGCGTGGTGGGATTATAGGCGCATGCCCACTCGCCATCACACGCGGCGAGATTTATTTGGAAAGTTGCCGTGCAGCGCGTTTGAAATGAATCTTGCTGGCTTCCAAATATTTGGAACCGTAATTTGGAAATTTGGAACAGAGATTTGGAAACGATTAAAACGGCCCTAAACAGAGGGAAAAATGTTGCTGCTCGAATTGATGAGCATACACAGCAGTAACGCTGTATCATTCGTAAATTGAATCCTTTGTGTTGATCAATTTTCGTTGAGAACATTTCTTCGAATTCAATTGGTATGTCGTTTCTTGTATGACTTCCATTGCGGGGGAGTGTTGGAATACTCAATGTCAGTCATTAGAGTTTGCACTGCTGTAAACAACAGTAAGTACGTATTCACCTAACGAGTATTACCGGAATAGTCTTCGGTATGTTGATTCAGTAATTGGATCATTGTACACACCGACGGGTTATTATACATTGAACCATAGAAGTATGGTACATCGGACCATTGTCCTATAGGATATTCTAGAAACGTTGCCATAGGTCGGAGTGACCGTCAATTACCGTGATCGGTACGTTGCAATAGCCCGTGTGTGTTTCCTTTCCGTGATGACGGTGGATGGCTCGCCCCCAGTGGTGCTCGCCCCCACTCGCTCACTTCTTCTTCTTCTTCTTCTTCTTCGTCTTCTTCTTTCTCTCTTCTGACCTTTCGGCCAACTAAGCGCCAATACAACCATATCATCTGGTCTACAACACAAGTGTACTTTACAGTCACTCTGTGAGCCTCTGCACACTGTTACTACACAGTGGCCACTGCCAGGGATACACCTGTCACAAAGGTTACATCCCAACACAGGCAGTTTCTACTTGGTTTCGTCGGAGATTCGATGAGTGATCTGAATTGCGTGACGGATAGGTGTGTGACTCTTCTCCTCGGTTCCTCGGACACAAGTGTTCTCTGCTGTTACCTCTTCCCTCTAATACAAAACTTTCCCATCTCGGCCCT